CCCTCGAACAGCCTTGGGTTGTCCCTGGGATCGAGAGCGGCTGTTCCTAAACACGCGCAGGGAGGCAGGTTCAGGCACGCTGAGGCCGGGGAATTGGGCTCCTTGGATAATCGCGTCTGGTGCCTCGTTCCTTCTGGAGAGAAAGTGCTCGGTCTGATGTTGTGCTGCACCTTCTAACCTGGTCCTTTCCGTGCATCCATAGGCCATCTTTGGAGAAGGATTCAATGATGACAGATAGAACCATTTCTCCCTCCCTCGTTATAAAGCCTGTAAAAACTTTGCTCGGTGAAGATCCCCACTGTGTTGTCAGGGCCACTTGGGCTGGGCTGTTTTTACTAAACAAAAGTATGCTTCTTGACTTCACTGTTTAGTTTTCTAACGACGACTCTGGCTTCCTTTTTGACTATTTATTGTATTCAGGTGCTCTGCATGTAGACTTGAATCCTTTATGCTTATCTGGTGCATCAATAAAGACTGAGTCTAAAGTTGGAGTCCAACATGTTGGATGATTAAAGGACCTTCCGTTGAGACCTTTGCATAAATTCGGTGGCAGGGCATTTTGAATTAGCTTTTTGGAGAAGTCCTAAATGATCTGGTGCAGAGGGTTCAGTGGAGCTTTAGAGTCCAATCTTGGGTTTGCTTTCAACTTTGTTAAGGAGTCTGAGGATTCAAATTGTGCGTATGGCAAGCAACAGGTTTTAGGGCTAGACGGCATGGAACCGCAGACCACTTCCTGTATGGAAGATTGACTTCTGGAAGCAAAGAACAGGCCATCCCTTGGATTGGCCTGTCCTGGGGGAAGAACAAAGCTTCCAGGGAGCACCAGAAGGTTCTGGGGAAGGACCTGCTGTTTTACACATCTCCAAAATCCTATTTGTCAGATATGAGAGAAAACTTACTTGAAAGAATATTCTTGAGCAGGAGAACAGTGTAAACAAAAGTAAGATAAAAACACAGTACATAATAAAATAGACAAGAGGGCATTTGGCCACTCAATGCAAAATGTATGCAAAGGTATATCTGAGAAGGGGTTCAAACCGCCCTCTGCCAAAGCCTGGGAAGACAGCCAGGTCTTTAAGGCCTGACGGAAGGCCACCAGGATGGGAGCCATCTGGGTCTTATGGGGGACCTCATTCGAGAGGGAAGGTACCACGACAGAAGGTTCACTCGCTGGGTCCCAATATATGGCCTTGTTTGTTTGAGGGAACCTGGAGTGCACCAGACCTGTTGGATTGAACCAGCCAGGCAGGAACCATGGGAGGTGGGTGGTCCCCCAAATAACCTGGACCTTGAATTGCACCAGGAAGCAAACTGGCAACAGCACAGCTCATGGAGTAGAGGTGTCACGTGGGCATAGCAGGCGTGCCATCGCTGCCTGTGCTGCTACATTGTGGACCAGTTGAATCTTTTGACTGGTCTTCAAGGGCAGTCTCACGTACAGCACATTGCAGTAGTGGAGCCATGAGGTGACTAGGGCTGAGTGACCGTATGAAAGGCCTCCTGATCCAGGAAGGGGCACAATTGAAGCACCAGATGGAGCTGTGCAAAGGTCCCCTTGGCCACAGCTGCCACCCACTCTTTGAGCAGGAGCCATGAGTCCAAGAGGACCCCCAGATTCTGTACCACTCCTGACCAGGGAAGTGCAACCCCATCTGGGAGTAAAGATGAAAACCCTCAGATCTGCAGCCACACAGTCTTGGTAGGATTGAGTTGGAGATGGTTCATCCCCAGCCAAACCCACCCAGCTTCCAGGCACTGGAGCAGAACCTCAACAGTCACACTTGGTCAGCCTGGGATCCAAAGATATAGTTAGGTAACAGCACATTGATGATACCAGACCCTGAACCTGACCCAATGGCTTCATCCAGATGTTGAACAAGAGTGTGTCAAACCCTGTCACCCTGCAAAGGAAGGGCCTGTTGAGTGATGTTTCCTCCTACAATCACAACCAACTCAAATTGGCCTGGAAGGAAGGGAACCATGTAAAATGGTGCCTCCTATCCTCAACTCCCGGAGCTGTGACTGATGGTATCAAACCCCTCTGAGAGATCAAAGAGGGAAGCAGCACCACCCTCCTGGCTCTGCCACACATTTGCACACTTATAGGGTACATCATCAGTTCTGTGTTGAGGCTTCAATCACGTCTCTGGGTTTTCTTTTTTTGCTTTAGAAAATGAAATTGATGAGATTGATTGATTGATTATGTGCCATCAAGTGGGTGTTGGTTCTTAGTGACCACATATAGTAGATAGATAATCTCCATGATGATCTGTGGCCAACCTGGTCCTTCAGGTCTTCCAATCATGTCCCATCACTGCTGTAACTGAGTCCATCCCCCTTGCTGCTGGTCATCCTCTTCTCTTTCCTTCCACCTTTCTCAGCATTATGGACTTCTCCAGAGAGCTGGATCTTCTCATAATGTGTCCAAAAATTGATGAGAAAGTTGCACCGTTTCTTCACCATGTTACAATACAAGTTATTTATTTTATTTTTTTTGCTCAAAAGGAAGGTAGAGAAGAAAAATATACACAGTAAGACACAAAGTTAGTACAGTTATATCCAAGGAAGTTAAATACATCAGAGCTGACCTGTGAAGGACCACTGCTTTGGAAAGAAGCTTGATGAGGGGAGGGGAGGCCAGAGAGCCCCTCCCTGCAGGTACCACAGGAACTTCACGTTGGGGGGGAAGAAGGCTAAATGATGCCCCTCCAGCTGCAACTCCCACCTGTGCGTCTGTAGCAAGATGAAAACCTGCCACGGTCCGGCTGTCTTGATGGAAGCCGAGTTTGGCTTCTCACCCTGAACAGGGGCTACGCTCAGTGGCCCAAATGGCTCCTCCAGCTTCTAGGGCTCCACGTTTCTTCATCCTGAGGTGAACCTCCTGTTTCCCCCCGTAAAAAGGAGGCTGGAGCTTTGCTGTTCTTGACTGGTGCATAGCAGCCCTTTCCGGGCATCAAGTGAGCAGCTCTGGTTAGTGGCCGGGTGCCAGTTTGGTTCAGGAGCCCAAGGCAGTGTTGGCAAGGGCAGCAAATGGCGCCACTCATGGGTTCCAAGAGAGGGCCCCTTTTCCTACGGTCGCTGTTAGGCTGCGCCAGGTGCTCAGTGTGTCAGCTGTAAAGCTGAAACCTGCTTCCCAAACACACCTGGACCAACAGCCTCACCTGGGAGCAAAGGGCTGAGAAGCCTGTCTTGAGCACGGCCTATGGAAGGCCGCAGGGTTGCTTCCACGTGTGCTCCTCTTCGGGCGTCTCCACGCCACGCACCGACTGTGGCCGCGCATCGCCAGCTTTCAGTTCACCTGCTGATTGAAGGAAGTGAAGGGGAAAAGGAAGGTTTGGACTTCTGCGGCGTCCTACAAATACGACTGCAGATGGTCTCCCGACCCCCAGATGCTTCTGGAGAGAAGAGGGCTTGTCACAGACCCGCAGGTGCCACGGTCTCTCTTTGCTGGCCATTGACTCCAAAGCTATGCGCCGTCCCTAACGGTGCCTTCCAGGGCCCCAGCTTTAACCCCCGGAGCAGGGCTATGACCCGCTGGGCGACAGGCCTAGAAGCGGACTTCAGCTCGCCTTCCTCCGACGGACTCTCCAGAGGCGTGGGGACCCTGGGAAGGCTGGCCACTGCCTTTGCCCCAGGCAGCCTGCGCGGGGACGAGGCCCACTGGAAGCCTTTGAACAGAAGGTAGCTCTCCCTTGAGACCCGAGTTATCCTGACGATGCAGAAACCCACGTGCGCAGACGCCCTCTGGCTTCTTGTGGTGTCTGAAGCAGCGGAAGAGAGAAGCGGGGCGGCATCACTCCCCAGCCGCGGCCCTTCGAGGCCCAGGCGCCCGGTCGGAACCAGGATGATGCCACCCGGGCCACGACACGAGGACGCAGAGATGTCACGGCATCATTGACGCCCTTTCCACGATGGCACCTGCCTTCCTCTGCCCTCAGGATTCTGGGGTGCCACTTCCTCCTCCCGAGCGCCATTGATGCATCTGGAAGCCGCGTTCTGCCCGAGCGGATCCATTCCCAGCTTGCTTGACTCGGGCCCCGAAGGGAAGAGCCAAAAAGTCAAGGTGACATCTGTGAACATGCAGAGTCCTGTCCCTTTTGGCATCTGTTATCTTGCAACATATGCAAACGGGGGGGGGGGGTTTGGTTGCGCCTGCTGCTTTTGCTTTTTGACCCCCCTCGCAGACCTTCTTTTAAGACCTCGACCTTTCTGGGGTTTTAGCCTCAGCTGGGAAATAGCAAGCCCCCCGCATGCTCCCGTCTCCCGCGCCCCTCCTTTCACGCTGTCGTATAAAAGAGTATATATGATCAAAGTCAACGTGCAGTTAAGGTAATGGCTGTTTTAGGTTAGTTACAATCCTAGACGATGCCCGTGTGCAACATGGGGTTAATTAGCGGTTACTGTGGGGT